ATATATATATATATATATATATATATATATATATATATATATATATATATATATATATATATATATATATATATATATATATATATATATATCGACACATACACGATATTTATTTTTCATTTTTTACATGTAAAAATTAAATATTTACTATATGGAGTATTAAATTTTAATTTTATTTAATTCATAATAAATTATTAATATAAATTTTTTTAATGATTTTTATTTTTTATTTTCTCATTTTAAATTTATACTCGCTACGGAATATAATTTGATTGGTCGGGGTTAAGGGCCCTTTTTTTGGTCTCTTGCCGGGTCATAAAATTCTCAGGACCGGCTTTGGGTATGGTACAATTCTTTTTCAGTATTTTATTAATTCCGTATTTTTTATTTGATAATCTCGATTTTTTTCGAGAAATTTTGGGATTGATTCGGTACTTGCTCACCCTTATAGTACTCTTTTTCTTATTACAAGTGCAATTGGGAGTATCATGAAGCATTTGTTAGGAGATGTATTCTTCATTTTAGCTCAGGTTCAAATTGGACCCTCTATTCGATCTTCCCAATTTCTATGTGTTTTAAAGTGAAAAAATTCTCTGGGTTTAATTCTTTTTTTTAAATACAATTTCTTTTATTTATTTTTTACTATTAATGCCCACAGAGATACAGATCTAGGATAAAAGGAAAGAAATGATTGGGTGTTAAATCAAATAAAAAATAATACAAAAACAAATGAGAAAGTAGCAATATATTTAGTTCAAATCAAATTTTGAATTAATGAAGAAAAGAAATACTCAGTGAGAAAGAAGTCAAAATGACGAAAAGAAGAAAGAAGAATTAACATGACCTCGAAAGAAGAATTTTTACACTGCTTCCGATGAATCCATCCATCAGATCAAAGTACAAAAAAGGGTATTTAAAACACTAACGGCGACGTGTCCATTGGAGTAGGCATTGACCCAAAATCGCTCCCAAAATACTCCTAAAACAAATAAGATAATAAGTGTCAGTATAAAACATGCTCCGAAAATGTGGCCGAATCAATGCCGGTCACAAAAACAAATATTTGTGTCAGACGGTCCACACCTTTAGCATTAACTGTTATTACTAGTATTGTTTACCCTCACTGCAAGCAGCCCTCGTCATCGTCTAAATCACTCCCCCCACCATGCGGATCAGGTTGTTTTCGCTTGACGCTTGAAAAGGAAAATAAACAGAATTAGCAACAAGATCAAAAGATCCTCGCAGGTTTCAGTAACAGCCCACAACAAGCAAGCAAGCACTCTATGAGGCACCAAAAGCCATTACCTCTATTTCTTTTCCTACCAAAGCCAAACAAGTGAATTTATACTTCCATTTCATTTTAATATACAAAACAACAACCCTAGTATAATCCCAACTCATTAAGGTCTTGTTAGTCAAGAAGTACGCGACCCTGATTCACTTTATGCTCTGAACTTCATAAAATGTAAAAATTAAATGACACGATTTTTAATAATAAATTGGCTGTCAAGACTTAACAATCCTGCAAAATGTTATTTTGCTATTATCCATCAAATTCTCGCACAAACAAAGACATAGTACTACTTCACTTTTGTTGACTGTGGAGTACAACAATTGAGGTATAATGTTAACTGTGGAATGACTGAACACATCAAACTCGTTGATCCTAATTTTTACTGTACTTTCTAATTCTATGACTAAACTCATGTTAGACATCAGCTTGCATGTGCATATATTTTAAAATTAAAGAAAAAAAATACCTTCTCTTCGTCTGAATCACTCCACCCTTCCTGCAATCCTGCATGAACAATAACTACAAAACCATCAACAGCGAATACAATACGTTGTTCAATGAATCAGGATTCTTTGTCTTGCATTTTGCTTAGATTATTGTCATCGCTTTGTCTCCAAATCAGCATAGGCGTGACAAAGCAATGAAATTCGTTAGCATTGGAGTTAATTTGTGGCATGGGTTATATCTTGGGAGTATTATTCTTTCTGTACGTAATTGTGTTAGACTGTTCAACCTTGGGAGTATTAATGTACATTTTCCGTTAATCATATTATTTATCTTCACTGCATAGTGTTATAAATCTAAATTCTAAACTCAAGTTAAAATTCTTTTTTGCACATGTTTATTACGGTCAAAGAATGTATTACCTTGTCTTCGTCTATATCTCTCCACCCATCATGCAATCCTGAATCAACAATAATGACAAAATCATCAACAACAAACCCAATATGTTGCACAATGAATTGAGATCATTTATCTTGCATTTTCTCAAGATTTTATTGTTATGGCTTAGTCGTCAAAAAATTGCTTCTTGGTCAATGTATAGACATACCAAGCCTCATAGAGAGCAGATCAATTGCTTTGATTGGATCCTTGATGCATTTAGCGCCCATAACGTCTTAGAACATCAGAAGCACTTTTACTTATACCTTTCACTAGTTACCCTTCATCATCAAACAAGGCGACTGAATGCTACAAATAAATTACGGAGTAGTAACCTTGCTAACTTGGTTTTCATGATTGATCCATCACAAACTGAGAGCCCACTACTAAAGATTATCAAAAAAATCTGGTTGTAAGACTCTCAATTGACTAACGCTAAACAAATCAATTATGTAGTTCAACTCTTTATCTTATTCACCTA